GGCCACGATAATTTAGTAGGAAGGCTGAAAATAGGCCACTAGTGGTATGATTGTGGCATTGTGCCAAGGAGGAGGTATTTTAGCTGACCTGGGAATCTCGCAAATTTTTACCAGGCCTCATCACAGAGTTGCCCGAGCTAAACAAACTTAGTTACCGGCATGATAAAAAAATGTTATCAACCTGGTCAGGTAGTTGACTTGCAATTACTAAATGGTGCTTACTAATTCGAATGAGGTCGGACCCCTGGTCACATGGCATCGAACTATTTTGACGGCGATGTGCCCTTGCCTTGCACCTTGTAATTAGTCTCCTTGCAGCCGCTTGATACCTTGGGGATCCGTTCTTGAATTAAAGTGGTACTGTGGTTTTTTGGCGCGCGTGAATTAATAAAGCCAGACTACATTTATCTATTTATTTAAACTTGTTTATACACGGTAACCCATCAACCAAGGTTGTTTTTCAAGGGGCCGTGTTGCATGAAAACATGTAAAATTGGACAATACACAACTTTATAATCAGTAATTCAAAACGCATTCATTAAATGAAGCCAATCTAAAATTGTGGCCCGGGCACGGGTCAAATAAGTTAACATATATTTTCACTCTTACTATTAACCTGAAACACTACCTTATGATGTAGTTAAATATTGGACATTTACATAATCTGTATAGCAATTTGTTTATGTCGATGTTTGATAATAGTTGAGCTATGGCTGTTTTAGTTTTAATATTGGATATTGGAAATTCACATACGTTTGTACAGCGAACATGACTGTTGGTAGTTTACTGTGTTTTATAGCTCAGTGGTTTGTCGGCAAGTCGCCGCCTTGTCGGCAAAATCGTGTCTCTTTCGCCAAAGATGCCGCAATGAATAGCGCCACCTATGGTCCGATATTGTCCAATATCGTCGGTTCGTAATTGAATAGTGTCCCAAATAGATGGATGGTGACTTCGGCACCTGTTATAGCAGCAGCGGCCTCGGCCTGTCTGGTCAAGCTTGTCCGGTCAGTCCTTTGCAGATTGATACTGTCTAGAGCAGTTAACAATTAGCAGCTTGACTGATTACATCTTGTATTTTATTTATCCCCGTACTTGACCTCTTAATAATCACTTCCTTTAATAACGTCGGGAAACAAGACTTGCATTAAAGGCTTCAAGTTCAACTCACTGTAAAACCTTGTTTATTATACCGTTTTCGTACTGCTGTAAATTTCAAAGTGGTTAATGACCATCACCTACTTATTATAAGCTATGATCTGTCCTGTTTCAAGAGGAATGCCGTTTCTTACATTCAGTTTTCCATAGTATTCACTCTTTTTATTCTTTTGACTGGCCCTGTACCTTTATTGGTTTATAGCCTTGTTTCAGGGCAAATGTGCATATATATATACCCTATAGAAAACAATTCCGAGGGCTGGTGGGAATAAAATAACAAACGTGGTAAGTTGGGACTCGAACCCACGACCTCCTGTTTACTTAACGTTTAAACAACAAACTGCGCGCGAGAAGGATCACATCCCACGTTGTTTACGACCTAAGAACCTAATTATTCTTCGTATTTTACCAAACTCTGAAAAAACCTGATGTTTAAGGAAAACCCTTTTACTGTATTCCCATGTAAGAGGTGTCACCATGGCAATTGTAGGCCCTATTATAAAATACTTATGATTGTTTCCATGATAACAATATTCTGCTCGATGAGGAGCCCAGTCTGGACTATATGAATGAAGTCAAATCTTCGTAAACTTCAGTTGAATGGAGATGATATGAATTGAACGAATTGCTATCAAAGATGTCAGGAATTTTAGTCTGGTTCACCCCCGTCCCTCAGAAAACATGACCTCAATGACCGATTCGAGTCACTTGTTAGATTAAGATATCACTTGGCCAAATTTAACAGGAAAATCCTCCTTGGTATGATAACATCTACTTATATTACACGAGGGATAAATCAATCAATGAATGGCGTTTGTTTCCTGTCCCTATAGACGATCTTGACGTATTGATGTATGAGAGGCAGTTACAATATAATTGATGTCTTAATTCGCTAAATGGTTCCACCATTTTGTAAATTAAGGCACGTTTTATCTTCGTAGCTTTTTTCAGAAACAATAACAAACATTGTGTTATTTGTCTTTAACCTTATTGGATACTAGTCATACTCAGCGGTTTTACTGTTGTATTTGAGACCTGACGTCATGATGTATATAAGAGGGCGGACAACGCCTTAAATGCTCGTTAAATTGTTGTCCTTACTTTAAGTATTCTGTTTGATGTGATGTTTCTGATTGGTCAATTCAAGCACGTGCCCCGAGGACCGACAGACAAAGGGAGAACAACAGATTCTTTGTTGTCCTCGAGAGTTCATCTTTTGTTGAAAACGGTCCTCGATCGTGCGTTTGTGTGCTTAGTCTGTGTGAGAGTATTATATTAAAGGGACAAAGGGAAAATACAATGCCTCGTCCCCGAGAGTTATGTAAAGTACGATTGTGTGTATGTTAGCGTGTATAAATAATAATATTTGACCCCTCGCCAGAGGTCATACAGACACAAAAAAATAATACCCTGGTCAATCTCTGGCTCTACATCTGAGTAAGCTATTGAGGCAGTGTCTGGACTATATGTTTAATGTGAGCACTGTCAGTTCTTCTTGATCCATTTCCGGACTTTTGGTGAAAGAAATAGACTGGTCATCTTGAAAGGGCAGCCAACATGGCTCCGTTTCAATGACACACGTTGATTTGGCCTTTGCGCTTGACCGGAAATAACGAACAACAACTTTAATTTCGACCTGGGTCAAATTTGTGCGAAGAGGGCATCTGGCCAATAAGAAACTAAAATGACACCCTTCTTGATGAACAGTGACAGTTAGGCCTGTTCTGTAATTGAGTTTGCTTGTCTCAATTAAAGTCGTTTCCTGTAGCGCTAATAGTCTGTTTTATTTGGTAAAAACGGGAATTCTAAAAATTAAATATTGGAGTTCAAACACTCCGCGTTTTGGAAAAAAAATACCATTCTCTGTCGTGGATAAAAAGTGCGATTTTCAGAATACGTAGTTACATGAACAATTGCAAATGTCAACCTTTTTGTGGCAGTTTCAATTATTATTTACAAGTTTGTTTTCAACCATCGTATTTATTATTGAATTATAATGGAATAATTGGTCATGAATTACCAGTAATGACGCTTTTTGATAGCTAAGTATAAGGCAATTTGTTTGTTGATATAAAGCTCTTGAATGCTGCGAGGAAACGAGCCAAAATAGCCAAAAATAAAAATTGCAGATAGAATTTATCGACAGGTTTACAATTAATTTTGGTGTGAAATTATTTACTATACACAGGGCAAATACCACAGCTCAACGAAAGACATTTATTATGTAAAATCAAACATTCAAACTATGACATACAAATGTACTTTCGTCGGAATTTTATTAACACTATCACATTTCAAATAATTAGTTACAATCTGTCCGATATATGATATATTCCAACACATGTAAGTTCACGAATTAGTAAACCCAGTGAAAATTACAATCAGAAAATCGTTGACTTATGTAATTATCCTAAATTTAGGCTTGGTTTTCCAGTCTGTAAATTATTCTATTTCAGTTCTCGTAATGGTCCAAAACAAAATAGAATTTTGTTAATTATCCGATTCTCTTGTAATGATTTAATCGGAAATCATTACGTTTCAGGGGAAACGAAATCGATAGGAATGTATTTGAATTAATAGTACACTAGTTAGATAAAATACTGCAGCAAAGCGAAACAAAACAAAACAAAACAATTTTATCAGCAACCTTCTAATCAACATGGTTTAAATTGCAGTTAAGGTGCTCATTCATCTGATATCGAATGAACACTTTTTCAAGATCTTTTTCGTATTTCAGTCACATCAATAAAAAAATAGCTGGGATTAGTTTCCAGCGACGAAGAGTAAAACAATGATCTTTGAAGTCTGGTCACTGCCACCCAGGTCAGGTATTTTGCAAGTTGCCATAGCAGACTTTAACCAAGCCTAGAGACATGCAAAAGCGTTAGCATTTATTAAAACATTTTCAAACTTTGGTCACACCATTAACCATTAACGCACACCTTATGACCATTTTCGGTTTTGCTACCGCCATATGATTTCATCAAGTTTTCTAACGGGACAGCAAACTCTCATGCTCACGAGACTTTTTTTAAAGTTTGCTTGTTAATTTTAGCAGACATAGGTAAGAGGCAAGTAACTTTCTTTTGCCACGAACGGCAAAGGGCAAAACTCGGTGATTGGTGCGCGTTTTACATCAACCAATGATTTATGAGAATACGCATACTGAAATCTATATCCTTGTAGAGACATTTCTTTGTTCTCGTGTAGTAAAGTTTTCGAGTTTGAAAGTGTACTTTCCAAATGCTCTTATTTTAACCAGAATTAATTTCCTTGGCTGAAATTCGGACTTAATAGGTCTATCCCTTTTCTAAAACTCATCCATTTGCGACATATCAACCCACCTTGGAAATTCCTAGTTTTTGAGTAAAATCCATATATCTATTTTGTGAAAACCTTGTGGAGACGTATTCATCTACAGAAATTGCCCTGTGGAGACGTATACAATATTTTGTTCCCTATTGTGTGCATGTCTCCAGAGGGCACGGTGTATCAGATCACTACTCCCTTTTAAATTTGATCTGTACCGACTGTAACACTTCTTGTTCCCACATCCTGCCTACTCCCTCCTTTGTGTTTCTCCTTCCATCCTTGCATACCTGTGTGACCCCTAAATTATTTGTTTCTGTACTACTGTCATTTTGCCTTTAACAAAGGTCTTTCAAGGATCAAGTTAAACCAAGTAATAATTTTGATTTATATATTTCAGTTCAATCCAGTCACGGTTTGCAGCAGTTTTAGAAATTTTCATCTTATGTTGTCGCGAGTAATGAAACAATTTCACGCATAGAACTATACCAAAACGACTAACAAGTGTTTTTTTTTTTTTGTCGTGGGGTCATACATTATGTTCACCCTTGCGCGTTGATGCGTTCCTAAGAACGCAATTACTCTGAAGTATTGCGTACTCATCGACACATTTTGTCAGAACGTTTCTTAGAAACGCCTGAACACTGCGCATTCCGTAGGCTTGCTGACTCCGTACCGAAACGTTCTTCAGAAAGTTACATATTCCATATAGGCTTGCGGAATCCGCAACGATTTTCCCCCCTCAGAACGCCACATACTCCGTAGGCTTGCCGCTGGGGATCCCGCACCGTGTCGCTGGATCTAACGCGGTGTAGTTCGGATCGCGGATCATGAGCACCGCGTTCTCGTACAAATGCGAGTCTGTGGATTCACAGCTGTCTCTGCTGTTGTCAGTACTGCCGCTGCAGCTGCTACTACTGCACGTGGTCAGCGGCAGGTAGTCCTGGGTTTCGTTCAGTTTCTCCCGACTCCCGTTAGAGTTCTTCCCGCCTCGGAGGTGACTGAGCGCTATGTACCTGCCGTGTTTGGGCGCGGAGTCCTCCACTTTGTTCATTCGTAGCGAGGTGTTCGTGAAGGCGGGGCGGCGTGCCGGTTTGGCATACAGGTACTTGGGTGCAGAAATCGCATCCATCACTCGCTGGAGGCTAAGAGGTTCAACCTGCGCCTCCTCGATCTCAAGACATGCTTCCTCTCCGTCTGCGTAACCTCTATGCTTGTCTTGCCTCTTGGGAACCCTTGGACGAACCTTCTCTATCTGCCTCCTGTACCAGATGTAGAAGAAGATCAACGCAGTGGAGAGAGTCGTAGAGAAGGTCACCAAGGCGGTTGCAATGATCCCCGCCGTGGAGTCGCAGATGAGAGACTGATCGTGGTCCGGTCTGCACCTGGTGGCCCCAGCTTCGCTGCACGGTATCCCAGTCATTTCCGTTGTCAGTGACTCGGTATCCCCGAGGGAGTGGCCCTCGGGCTTAGACACGACGAGCGAGAATTGAGCCAGGTCACTGCCCTTCTGGTTCTCGGCGTGACAGGTGTAATTCCCGCTGTCCTCTTCGCGAGCCTCGGAGATCCTGAGGGAACCGTCAGTGAGCTGAGCGACTCGGTCGCTCCTCTGATTGGTCACGTGGCCTCCGTGGGGGGTCATCCAGGTCACGATTGGTTCGGGGATGCCGGTGGCGTTGCAAGGTAGAATCGCGTTCTGTCCCCAGACTGCCTGAACGGAACGCTGAATCTGTGGACACCAGGAACCAAATAGAGTTACAGAGTTATAATTCTCAAACCCTCACAAATCAATCACTAGTAAATCACAAGTCAATCACAAGTCACTCGGTCCCATTTAAATAGAAATTGAAACAATCTTTGACAGAAGGCCTTCCTTAACATTGTTCAACCCTTGACCTTTGTGACCATAATCTAAGAATCTAAGATCTAAACATGAATCACACTTTCCGAATTTTAGACCGGGATGTCGCCGTTTTCTGTTTTCCTAGCTATACCACTAGCTGACGTGACTTGAACAATGAACTGTGGAGATTGTGGATAGATAGTTCTGTGTATTGAAGAATCTTACCTTGGTTATTATCGGCTTCTTGCACTCGAGAGGGATCTTGAGAAATCGGAGGTCTATGCCAAGCAGTGAAGGAGGTTTAGCGCAGAGAATCGGGTGGCTGATATGAAGGCTGATGGATCCCCTCTCGTCAACAATTCCCTTCCGGAGGAACTCGATCCTACAGTCGCAGTTGATGGGATTCCCTAATATCCATATGTCTTGGAGTGTGGAGAGGAGGAAGCTTAGGTCTGGAAGGGATGTCAGCTGGTTGTCGCTCAGTTGTAAGATCCGCAGCTGTGTCATCCCGTCAAAGCTTCTGGGATGGATGTATTGGAGTTTGTTGCTCTGCAGGGCAAGGAGGTTTAGGTTCTTCAGCCCAAACAGCGCGCCTCTGTCGATGAAATGAATGTCGTTCTCCTGTAGAAGGAGCTTCCTGAGGCTCGTGAGACCTGTGAAGGTGCCAGGCTGGATCACCGTGATGTTGTTCAGGGAGATGTCTAGGTCGCGCAGGCGCTGGGCGCCTGTGAAGGCGCCGCTGGTCAACGCCTGGATTTTATTTAACTTGAGAATCAGGCTGGTTAGGTTGGTTAAGCCTGTGAAGGCGCCAGGTGCTATGGTGCTGATCTCGTTCATGCTAAGGTCCAAGTTCTCTAGGTGCCTGTAGTGACTGAAGGACCTCTCAATCAGATTGGTCAGCAGGTTGTTGTGGAGGTCCAGCACCCTGACGTCCGTGTGGCTGTTGGGAATGCAGTCGAGTTGGCGGGAACCGCAGTTAAATGTTCCCGGCTCGTCATCCTCGCACGCCGCGTTTGCACATTTCGAGTTTCCCGGTCGTCTTAGCTCCAGGGCGGCGCCCTCAACGTTAGATAGAAGTCCAGCCAATAGCCAAAGCAACGGTGGCATAATGGCTACTCCTTTTGCAAACTGTGAAGCCGACCAAGTGCTCCACATAACGTCGTCTGTCAAGAAAAGAAGAAGAGATGGTTGGAATTATTACGTTAATTGTTATGAGAAATTCAACATGGTTACTACCAATTTGTGTATTATGGTCAATCGATGCAAAAGTAATGGTAGAAGCTAAGTAACAGTTCTTTATGTCCAAATTCTAAAACTCGGCATCATTCATTCAAACTTCAGGGAAAGTACGCTGAAAATGTATAGCCTTTAAGTCCCGCTTTTGGAGTCAACTCATTGTAATCGCGTCGGTGCTATTCACTGGCAAGTGCAATTAGCGGCTGCATCTGTTTCCAGAATACGGTCTTTCCAGCTCCCAGAATTTTGTACAGGTGCCAAAGAATGTAACCCGATAGTAAAGCTTTAATGCGTTTAGGGAAGCCTTTTCATCAGTGTGTTAATTGTGACCTTCCGTTTTTCACTTCATGCATCTGGCCTGGATCCCAGAGCAAAACTGCGCAGTAATGCCTCCAGATTTTTGAGGTGTAATCCAACCACTCAGGTTGCAGCGTGCATGTTGCTACATCGGTACATTAATAACCTTTGGTCGAGCTCGACTAATAATTATTGCCGTTTCTGAGATTTTTATTTTCATCAATGCGGTGGATTTTGTTCACACGGGACCTCAAAATTTGGCCCCGTTCTCGTTTTTTAATTGAGCATTACCGTTGCTAATTTTGTTGGCTTGCCATGGAAGGTCAATCAAGAAAGGCTTTTGGGTGTTTTATTTTTGAATTATATTGGTGGTTATCAGCTGAAATGGAAGCGAGAAGAAAGCCACGATGCCTACTCGGGTTTTCAACTTGTGTGACGATCTTCATTGGGTCACCACATCTGGGCCTTTTTTCGTAATGAATGTGCAACATGCAAGACGTACAGGAAGCGGTTACCCAATACCTCCAAAGGTATTTCACACCATGACCTAGTTGGTCTATGATTAATCGTGTCAGATCCCTAGTTACAGTCATCTGAATCCGTCCCAAACATTGATAGCCTATTTCTGCCACGCTTATCAATTTGACAAGGAAGGTACGCGTTCGTACGTGGCCAAGGGCCCCATCCCCATCCAGGAATCGACGTGTTGTATACTACCCGCCCTACGGTTATCCGCGATGACAGGCTGGGCTGACATTTTCACAGTTCCGAACATTTGAAACCTGATCCATCCGGATTTTTACAGACTGCGGTTGATGAGCACGGGTCATGTAACACATTACAGTCTCTATCATGTCTTGCTCTTTTGGCTTTTCCTAATGAAAAGCTGATGTTATTGTCATTTTCTTCACATTATTACCTCCGCCAAGGAGGTTATATTTTCATCGGCGTTGAAAATATCCAGGAGTTTCCTTAAGGATTCGTCACCATTTATGGGAGTATTTTGTTTTTGATGTACCGACAATATGGGGAATTATTTAGCCTTGGCGGAGGTTTGCGCTCTCTGAGTGATTATATTTAACGATAAAACGATATCGTTATACGTTTAGATCAACAATGGAGAATTAATAATAGTTTAATAATAATTTAAAATTCATAATGCGCCTTTTGCATATAAATGATCAAAAGCGCATAAATTACATCACAAAGGCATAAAAAGTCTCATTTTGTGGATTTTAACCTTGATTAAACTTTTTAAAACTTCTTAAACTCGGTAATAATAATTACCGAGAGTAGTACCGGTATCTTCAAGAGACATTCATATGGAAATGGTTGTTGAAGCATTAGGGAGACACTCAAATGTCTCCCGTTGACCAGTGTCTCCCTATGTCAAATAATTTACTGTAAAGTATGTGCCACCCGTACTTGAAGCAGATACTTGTTTCAAAGAACTATCATATTAGTAAGAACTTTTCATGACTTGTTAGGAATGCGCATGACCTCTAAGCGCGGCGCATTACATAATCATACAACCGTAAGCTTGATATAACCGTTATCATAATCAAGCTTTGCGAGTTACCAACCAAATCTCCTTTTTGGTCAAAAGGAAGGATTACACAAGCAGATGACAAATTGACATTAATTTGGCGTTATAAATGTAGATGGAGTGAATTGGTATTTAGAAGGATCAAAAGAGAGTTATTTGAAATGTCAGATGGAAGAGTCATTTAATTTGCCAAAGTATATAATTTATCACTTTTGGAACCCGTTTGATTGAGTCGAAAGAAATATGAGTCACTAATTTTTTCTTCTTCTAATTTTAACAGAAGAAATTCCATGTTAAGGGGGTAAATGTTGGACTTAGGCTGATTTGGAGTTTGCAGTACACGAAGCCAGCGGTACAGAGTTGTACGTTTGCCAATCCAGGGTTTTGGAAATTTAACTTCAACCTTTGGATAAAATTATGACCCCAATTTGAACCGTTAATCAGGTAAAGGAAATGAGGAATATGTCAAAGGTCTTATCGTGTTTCAGGCCTTAGCTTGTAATGTTAACCAGTACATAACAATGTCCGACTCGCATTATATGGAGTGGCACGGCTCGGCTAAAAAAACGGAAATGGTTCATTTCTATAACTAATTTTGGTAATGAACGCTTACAAGGGAAATTGGTTTAAAATGTTAGGGGTACGCGGCGGTGAGAGCAGTTGCAAACTAATGAAACCGTGCTTAATCTCAATCTAAGATAGAATCCAGGGTCAATTTTGTTTTTACGATTGCAGCAATATTCTGTTGCCAGTGCTGTAGGAAACGAGTCCGTGTCGAGCCGCAATTTCGGTGACTCGGACTCGACTCGGACTCGATGGATGAGTCAGGCTTGACGCTACTGAATTGTGAATCCTGAGTCAAATGTTTATTTATTTTGACAAAAACAAAAAGCTTTGGTTTCCAAACACCCTAGGGCCTTTTTGCTAGGACCATCCTTAATCCGCCAAAATCCTCCAACCTTTTGCACTCTTGTATAAAGTGAATATATACAACATTTGCAAACATCGAAAAATAAAACTATCAAGTTTTTACCAAATACCTTACTAGGATGATAGTAAATGACAGTCTAAAGCATCCTGTAAACTTATGGCACACGGTGTGAAGTCATTTTCAAGAAAATGGTATTTTTGTATACATTTCCTACGGTGGTCGGCCGACCACCGTTGGAAAAACTGTTTTTCAACTTCTGCTTCAAATTTACCATTTTTTACAGTCCAAATTTTGTTTGTTATTTGTTACATGGTCATGAATGGGTGCAGGCCAGCTGCACTGGTTCCCTTACCGTACAATTTAGGCATCTACAAATTGATCCATTTTATCCTTAGTGGAGTCAGGGAACCAGACTACTTGAACATTTTTGTTTTTCTTGGTTTTTCCAGCATTTTCGAACACAAAACTTCAAACATGTCAGGGTAACAATATTTGATCTATTATACTAACCCCTCAAATAGTTCATTTCTGAAAATTACAGCAAAAGCCAATGATGTACATTCCCTTTAAATGAAGGAATTGCCAAGTGCCCAAATCCTTCAAAATCGTCAGCCTGTCCTGCCCTCAAAAAATGCATTCATCTTCAATCCTCCAAAATACTCCACTTCTTCAAATACCATTCAACCTCGCTCCTGAAATCCTCATGTGCTAAAACACTATTCATTTTCAATCCTCCAAAATCCTCGCGTTTCTCAAACACCATTCAACCCCATTCCTGCAAAATCCTCCAAAACCGCCATGAGGTTTTGGAGGATTGAGGCGGGTTACGGATATTTTAAGGTAACGCTAAAGAACGTTAAGCAAATGAACCGCACAACACTCTCCATGTGGTGTTGCAAATAATAATGTTATTAAATGCACCCCTGTAGGCCCTCCGTATTTCCCTAACGTGGCACACTTCGAAGCTTACCCGACTTTCCTCGTGTAGTGTAGCCAAACCTCTTTGTTGACAAACCTCAAACTCATGCAGTAAAATACTGGCACTTTTACCTTATAAATGCTTACTATTTAACCTCTGTGAACAATTTCAGTTTCATAAAATTTAATCCGAAATTCAAACACGGTGGCGTCCGGAAATTGGGCACAAATTCGCGGAGTGTTCCCTAACGTGGCGCACTTGAATAAATCTCGGAAAATTCCAAATTAACATTTAAGAATTTCTGTAAACTTGATAAATTCTGATAAATAATTCTTATCTCTACTTACATACCCAGCCAGGTGTTTGTCAGAAAATTATTTTCTTATTTTTCGGGGCATTTTCAAAGGGTTTACTTTGCACTTGAAAATAAAATCAGAAAATCACGCCAAAATAAGTTTTACTTCTAACTTTGTTACGGGTAAATGAACTCGCGATTTATGAACTGGAGTGTTTAGAACTTGATGACATTTCACTTTCTGTGAAATTTCAGTTAAAACTTTTGCTCTAGGTAGGTGTTACAGGCGAAAAATCAAAGTGCGCCACGTTGGGGGCCGCGCCACGTTGGGGTACATCAACAATATCGCTTGCATGTATCCGTGTCCATGTCCATGCACTCGTGGCTTGTGGCTCGGACTCGGACTTGAATCAATGACTCGAGATTCGAACTAAGATTCGACTCAAGTGACTCTGTTACTGATACTTTGTAGTTTTATTTTATGTTCTTGATGTTAAACCTTGAGAGTTTCATTTGCAATAAAAATATAACCACGTGTTTGTGTTATTATAATCCCTACACTTAATGTTATTATGAAGCATTTCCGCGCTAATGTGATGGAATTTTAATCGGGATCTCAGCTCACATGGAAATATCAAACAGCAAATGATTTTTGGTGTCAAAATTAAATGCGAGATATTTTGTTAGGTGGTGCAACTTAATAGATCACGGTATAGTTTACACAATTGGAACGTTATTTCAGATGTTGTTTAAGAGTCGGGGTCGAGACTGTTTTCAGTAAATTAATCAATTGGTGCCAATTCGGGGTGGAATGAAATAGGAACACAAAGTTTAATGTTGAATTGTCAAGTTCATTTTAACGGTTGTCGAATTCATTTAACCCATCCTTTCATGAGACCGTGTGATTTGTTGTATGCATCGGCATTATTTCTA